AAATGTTGGGTGACACAATGAACTCTGATCATAGTGGTGGTAAACTAGCCGGGCAAGTGGAGCAAGTGGGGCAAGTGGGGCAAGATGACCTAGATGACTTGGTAATCCTGAACCCCCCCTCAAAAAAAAATACCAAGACGAGCAGGGCAGCGAGCAAGATGACCGAGATGACCCGGTGGCAGTAGTGGCTTCAGATCCCCGGCACCATGCGCAGAATATTAACGACTCGCGCATCTGTATTACCCTAAAGTCGTGCTGTAACCAGACTGTAAAGGGAATTCTACGCTATACTAAAGTCTCTCATACAGAACCGCTTCAAGATCCCCCTTGCAGAACCACAAAAAAAAGGAAGTCCTGAAACAGAGCCTTGAATTCAAACCCTAAAAATCCTTGATCACCTAAAGAAACCGCTATAGTAGCCTTTATTCTTAGGCAGGAACCCTAGAAGGAACCCTGTTCCAAGCCTTCAGGCTTCTACATCCTAAACCCTGAACCCTAGACTCTAAACCCTAAACCCGAAATCCTAAATCCTGAATCCTTGAAACAGCGCCTTGGATTCGAAGTACGCCTCCTGACAGCTGTGACGAAGGGGCATTTGCGCTTTGGGGCTTGGAGGGTTCAGGGCCGGGGCAAGGGTCTAGGCTTGAGGCTTTAAGGGTTTAGGGTTTAGGGTTTAGGGTTTAGGGTTTAGGGTTTAGGGTTTAGGGTTTAAATTTAGGGTTTAGGGCTCCATGATTTAGGATTAATGCAGGGGCCTTAAGAATTCGAATAGCGTTTCGGAGGGCTCCTTATCGTAACTATAGTATATATTCTACCCCAAACCCTGTTCTGATGATTAAGGCCCCTACATTATAAACCCTAAACCCTAAACCCTAAACCCTAAACCCTAAACCCTACATTAATTAGGGCTTTCGCAATTTTTAGGCCAGAGGGGGCCGAGGGCTTCGGGCATCAGGTCGGAGATCTGATAGCTGAAGTTTCTGGACCTTAAACCCTGATAGGGTTTAGGGTTTAGG